AATCCATATGTGAAGGCTGTATACGTAGACAGTGATATTTATATTGAAATTGTTCACATCTCATTTCCTTATTTGTTTATTTTTTATTTATTCATTTAGTGTTTTTATGATATTCTTATGGTATATGATATTTGACAAAACCTTATAATACTATTGTATTTTTTTATGGCGAATAAAGGATATTCTATTCTATTCTATTCTAAGTAGTGATACAAATAATTTAGTAATTCAAACATCAAAATATATCTACTGAATTTCAGGAACATTTTGCCAAATATGCTGGCTCTATAGATGTGAAAAGAAGGCAAAATGGTTGGTGAAGAGTATGTGCAGCAAATAAGTTTTTGGGATTTGAGTTAGAGAATTATTTGGATTCCGGTTTTTATTAATTGGAGAACAATCAAATATCGAGACATCCATGTAGGTCGGTGATGTGATGTCACAACTATGATGTTGTGACAATATTAGAGATAGATGTTTTCTTGATATCATACAACATTTATTTCTTTAACAAAAAAACTGTAATGTTTCATTGCTATCCCCTCAATATATTTATGAGTATAACAAAAGTATGTCACCAGGAAATCTTTTAGACATCTCAAAGCTATATTGCAGAATTCATCGTGATCTCAGGAGGATATCTGTGATATGTCACCTTGTTGCCTGAGTTGGTGAATGCTATTATTGTTTATTTGGATTGGCTTATTGCGTTGAGCCCTTCTTCCTTGGTCAATCTCATTATGATATTCTGGGCCTGCTGCAAGTTACTCTTTAACAAGTTATTCTTTATTATCGTTTAAGTACATTTAAGAAGAAAAATATAAGAAAGTCTATGAACTTTGATTTGAACACTTTTAGAATCCATAATCCGCTTTGAATGATGACTGTTGATGTAGACTGGGTGACTATCATAATGTCGAGTGTTAACTCGATTTTCAATGATTTGTATATCTTTGATTTTTATTTATTGTTAATATCACCAAAGTTTTTATTATATTGATTTTCATTAACAATGGAAGTTGACACCTCTAACTTTTAGCAAAAAACATTGTGGATCACAGTCAACCATTGACAAAGGAATTTAAAAACATATTACAAACAGAGACGTTTACACGCCATCCTAAAGGAGGATTTCTAACTAAATTACTAAAACTAATGTTTAATGCCCGTGTGAATAGCAGTTTCTTTGAACGTTATCAAACCGTCTTAATAAATTCTAAATCTTTTGAAAAGAGTATTAGCATTATGAAACTGGATGTATTGGGTTGTATAAACACATATTTTAGGCAGTGTAATAATTTAATAACATGAAAATTCCCTAATGTGTCAAAATGATGCTTAATTAAATGGCAACAGATCTCACTGCCAGCTTAACTTAATGAGAAAAAGGCAAATGATGGATGGAATAGGTTGATCAAATATTTCTCTATTCAGTAGAACCTATGCAAGCATCTTGAAAACTGCCAATTGTATGTTTATGTTTCAGATCATTCGAGATAATTTGAGAAAAATTAAACAGGAATTCCTGAGCCACCTGCATTTTCATTTTTTCCTTAAATACATGCAATCATTAAAACAAACATCAAAATAATAAAGTACCAAAAGGGTAGTATTCTTGTCATTATAAAAGGTTTCTCCTTGAAGTTTTTCACTTTATAGAAAAAAAAAATTCTTTCTGACAGCAAATATGACAACTCTGCTGCAGTTTCTCAAATGTGTTATGTTGCCATTGTTGGTATTCAGGAAAAGGTTTTTATAAATATAAGGTTATAAACTACACCTTTATCCTGTTAGAAATGGTTGATTTTTAGTCAGCTCTGTATTGAACTGTTTCATTTAATTTTGAGTGTGCCCTGTAGACATATTTAGATGTTGATATTTGTTTTGATGAAGTAGTTGTTAATTTTGATAAATAAAAGTAATTACACAACTTAATTTTTCTCTTTCAATTACAAACGTATTCAACTATATAAAAATAGTTGAACCATAAGCTTAGTGAGGACATTAAATCCTCAAATATCAATATCTTTAAATAGCGACTCAAGGCGACTATTGCAAAAAGCATACTACTCCGTGGATGAGTTTCTCCTTGAATCCCAATTTAATTGTAACTTATTAACTTGTTTTTTATGTATGTTTTATGTTTTATATTGACTTTATCTTTTTTATGTTTATTTGACCTGTTGAATCAGCCAGTATTTTATGATGATGTCATGTTATTTTTTGTCTAATGTGATTGTGAAGGAAAACTGATTCAATGAATGTTTGATTGATTGATTGCAACAAAAAATTCAACAGGTATGGGCCCAAGACTGTAATCGACGACTAGAGTTGTGAATTTCGACAAGGCAATTTAGACGCAGAGGTGAATTGACATTTAGCATGGACGACTTAAAAGTGGAAAAACTGAATTCTGGGAATTATCGAAATTGGTCAATGAGGGCGCAAGGAATCCTGAAAGTTAAAAATCTGTGGCAAGCTGTTGATCCTGGTTTTGACGACAATGAAATTAGAGTTGAAGAAAACAGGAAGAAAGATCATAGTACAAAATCTGTTCCTTCATGTATTAGTGAATAATGACAGTCTTGGTGACATAACTTGGCATGGCTTACTGTTACTCGAAGATTTTATCAATATCACCAAAAGCTCATACGAGACGATCAATCAGTACCTGAATAGATGAAACAGGTTGTATCATGAATTTCACTAGTCCGGACTTCCATTGTCTAATATATAAAATAATTTGAAATCCCTGAAACAACTGAACAACAACAAACTAAACAACAGGGATTTCAAATCATTTTATATATTAGACAATGGAAGTCCGAACTAGTGAAATTCATCATGAAGCATTGTCAGTCACCTTCAAACAATGGTTGTATTATAAAGTTAAAAATGCTGGATTTGAATTAGTCGAAAGATACTAAACAGTGGATCTACCGATCATATGACGTCAAATTTTGAGAAATTCATAAATTTCACCAAACAAAACACAGTTGTAGAAATAGCTAGTGGAAAGACGATCCCATCAACTGGTTTTGGAGATTTTGAACTGAAATTGGACGAAAAAAATGTAGGATCCGTTATAGTACCTGAAAATGTTCTATGTGTTCCAAAACTGAGAACTAACTTATTGTCGACGAATGTAGCATCTGAAAAAGGCCTGAAAATAATATTTGCGGGAAATTATTCGAAAATAATTGCTCCAAGTGAAGAACTAGTTGCAAAATCGATCAAAATCAACGGATTATTTTACATAAAAGAGAAGAAGAATAATATGAAGCGAATATTTCTGCAAATAAAGCCATTTCTAAACAAAATCAATTATGGCATAGACGTCTCGCTCATTTGAATGTTCCTACTGTGAAGAAAATGCTCGAAGAAGACGGAAATATATGAAACTCTGATGAAGGTTACGAAATCGAAGAAAATTGTACCATTTGCTATTAAGGAAAGCTGAGGCGAAATCCATTTCCAAAACGAAGTCTCAATAGGGAAGAAGCCCCTTTGCAACTTATACATTCAGATATAGTAGGCCCGATCACACCAGCTTCATTAGGTGATAGCAGATACATTTTCACATTCATAGATGATTATTCAAGATATTGTGAGATTGGTTTTATGAAGAGCAAAAATGAAGTTTTCATTAAATTCAAAGAATATAAATAGAGAGCGTAAAATTTACACGGGAATAATATTTACTGTTTCCGAAGTGACAATGGTGGCGAATATATTCAAAGAATATTTGCAAAAACATGGTATTTAACATCAGTTAACCATTCCAGGGACTCTGCAACACAATGGTGTGGCAGAGAGAATCAATCAAACATTGTTCGACGCAGCAAGATATATGATGATCGAATCAGATTTACCTGAAAAATGTTGGGCAGCACTTGCAACAGCATGCTATGTTAGAAATCGCTGGGCAACAATTGCTAACCAGGGAGAAAGCCCAATACAAAAATGGAAACCGAGGTAACCAACTGCATATCCGAAATTTGACCAATTCCTCGTATAAGGAAAGAAATCTTTCACGTATAGTCAGTGGGCATACATGAAGACTTGCTATAAATCAAATCATCTAAGAGAACAATTCGTTCAGGCCAGTCTCAACACCCTACACAGTAGGTTAATGGACTGACACCTATCAGAAAACAACTACTCCCCTGGCTAATACCACGAAGGGCGTTGGATTATATCCGACAGGTGTCAGTGCAGGATTCTTCACTGAAGTTATTCCTGCATATGCTGTTGGCGAT